TAGTAGTCGTCGTAGTAGTAGTAGTAGTAGTAGTAGTAGTAGTAGTAGTAGTAGTAGTAGTAGTAGTAGTAGTAGTAGTAGTAGTAGTAGTAGTAGTAGTAGTAGTAGTAGTAATGGTCGTGGTGGTGGTGGCGGTGGTGGTGGTAGTGGTGGTGGTGGTATTAGTATTTTTGGTCGTAATAATAATAGTGGTCGCAGCAGTAATAGTAGTAGTAATCGTAGCAGTAGCAGTAGCAGTATCAGTAGTCGCACTAGCAGTAGCAGTAGTAGCAGTAGTGGCGGTAGTAGCCAAAGCATGCGTAGCGGTAGTATTAGTAGAAGTAATACTAGTCGTAGTAGTAGTAGTAGTAGTAGTAGTAGTAGTAGTAGTAGTAGTAGTAGTAGTATTCGTCGTCGTAGTACTCATCGAACAAATGTAGTAGTAGCAGTAGTAATAGTGGTAGTAACAATAGAAAATAGTGCAAGCAGCACAAATAGTACCAAAAGGAGTGGTAGTGGTAGTAATGCTAGTAGTAGGAGAATTCGTAGTAGTAGTATTAGCAGTAGTAGTAATCGTCGTAGTAGTATGAGTCGTGGTAGTGGTAGTAATATGAATGGTGGTAGTAGTAGTAGTAGTAGTAGTGGTAGTAGTAGTAGTAGTAATAGTAGTAGTAGTAGTAATTATGGTTGTTTATGTTGTAGTTGTATGCGTAGGAACAGTAGTACTGCGAGTACTAGTCAGTAGTAGTAGTAGCGGTGGTGGTGGTAGTAACAATATTGGTGTGGAAGCGGTAGACGTAGTGCTAGTAGTGGCAACCATACTAGTAGTGGCGAAAGTGGTGGTGGTGGTGGTAGTGGTAGTAATAGTAGCAGTGGAAGTCGTAGTAGCAGTTGAAATAGTAGTAGTAGTAGCAGTAGTAGTAGTAGTAGTAGTAGCAGTAGTAGTAGTAGTAATAGTAGTAGTAGTAGTAGTACATGTAATACGAATAGTACAAGTAGCACAAGAAGCACACGTGGCACCGAAAGGGGTAGTAGTGGTAGTAGTGGTAGTAGTGGCAGTAGTGTTAATAATAAAATTAGTGGTAGTAGTAGTTGCAGTAGCATCCGTAGTAATAGTAGTCGTCGCCGCAGTAGTAGTAGGGGTAGTAATAGTAGATGTAATAGCAGTAACAGTAGCAGCTGTAGTAGTAGTAGTAGTAGCAGTATTAATCGTACTATTAGTTGCAATGGAAGTAGTCGTTGCAGAACGAATAGTAAACGTAGCGGTGGTGATATTATATTATTTTTTGGTGTTGTTGCTGTAAATGGTGGTAGTAGTCGTAGTAGTGGTAGTAGTAGTGACAATAGTAGTAGCAGGGGTCGAATTAGTAGTAGTAGTGGTTGTTGTTGTGGTAGTAGTAGTAGTAGTAGGCGTAGTAGTTGTAGTAGTGGTAGTAGTAGTAGTAGTAGTAGCAGTAGTAGTAGTAGTAGTAGTAGGAGTAGTGGTAGTGGTAGTGGTAGTAGTAGTAGTAGTAGTAGTAGTAGCAGTAGTAATAGTAGTAGTAGTAGTAGCAATAGTGGTAGTAGTAGTAGCAGTAGTAGTCACAGTAGCAGACGTAGTAGTAGTAGTCGTAGTAGAGGTACACATAGAAGTATAAGTAAAAGTAGTAGTAGTAGTAGTAGTAGTAGTAGTAGTAGTGGTGGTGGTAGTAGTAGTAGTAATAATACGACACTTAGTATTAGCAGTAGTCTAATAGTAGTTGCCGTAAGCTCAATGGTAGTAGTCGTAATAGTAGTAGTAGTAGAAGTCGTCGTCGTCGGCGGCGGCGGCGTCGTTGAAGTAGTTGCCCGCTTTGGGTTATCGTAGTCGTCGTCGTCGTCGCAAGTGGTCGTCGTGGTCGTCGTCGTCGTCGCCGTCGTAGTCGTAGGTGGTGTTGTTGGTGTGATTGCTGTTGCTGTTGTACGGCCGACCACGTGGACCAATCCACGGAAGCTTCATTTTGGGACCCCTCTCTAGGATCGCGGCCCTGGCACCACAGGGAGCTCCACCGAAGCTTCATTTCGGCACACCCCTCTCGAGGATCGTGCCCTGGCCCCCACAAGGAGCTCCACCGAACCCTCAGTTCGGCACACCCCTCTCTAGGATCGTGGCCCTGGCCCCACAGGGAGCTCCACCGAACCCTCAGTTCGGCACAGCCCTCTCGAGGATCGTGGCCCTGGCCCCCACAGGAAGCTCCACCGAACCCTCATTTCGGCACACCCCTCTCGAGGATCTTGGCCCTGACCCCCACAGGGAGCTCCACCGAGGCCTCATTTCGGCACACCCCTCTCAACGATCGTGGCCCTGGCCCCAACAGGGAGCTCCAACGAAGCTTCATTTTGCCACACACACCCCTCTCGAGGATCGTAGCCCTGGCCCCCACAGGGAGCTCCACCGAACCCTCATTTCGGCACACCCCTCTCGAGGATCTTGGCCCTGACCCCCACAGGGAGCTCCACCGAGGCCTCATTTCGGCACACCCCTCTCAAGGATCGTGGCCCTGGCCCCAACAGGGAGCTCCAACGAAGCTTCATTTTGCCACACACCCCTCTCGAGGATCGTAGCCCTGGCCCCCACGAGGAGCTCCACCGAACCCTCAGTTCGGCACACCCCTCTCTAGGATCGTGGCCCTGGCCCCCACAAGGAGCTCCACCGAACCCTCATTTCGGCACGCCCCTCTCGAGGATCGTGGCCCTGGTCCCACAGAGAGCTCCACCGAGGCCTCATTTCGGCACAGCCCTCTCTAGGATCGTGGCCATGGCCCCCACAGGGAGCTCCACCGAACCCTCATTTCGGCACACCCCTCTCGAGGATCTTGGCCCTGACCCCCACAGGGAGCTCCACCGAGGCGTCATTTCGGCACACCCCTCTCAAGGATCGTGGCCCTGGCCCCAACAGGGAGCTCCAACGAAGCTTCATTTTGCCACACACACCCCTCTCGAGGATCGTAGCCCTGGCCCCCACAGGGAGCTCCACCGAAGCTTCATTTCGGCACACCCCTCTCTAGGATCGTGGCCCTGGCCCCCACAAGAAGCTCCACCGAACCCTCATTTCGGCACGCCCCTCTCGAGGATCGTGGCCCTGGTCCCACAGAGAGCTCCACCGAGGCCTCATTTCGGCACAGCCCTCTCGAGGATCGTGGCCCTGGCCCCCCACAGGGAGCCCTATAGGATCCCCATGGAATTCCATAAGATCCCGATCGAATCCCGAGAAGACGAAGAGGGGAAACGGGAAACGTGGGGCCCCGCAAGGGCCCCCCGTTTCCAGTTTCCCGTTTCCCTCCCCCCCCCGGGGCCTCCAGGTAACGTCCTCACGAACAACACCAACCACAACAATGATACTGGAGAAAAATCCAAATCATAATCCTTTTAGGGATTTATGGCTATGGGGCTATAAGGCGATAGGGCTAGAAGGCTATGCGGTTATAGGGCTAGAAGGCTACAGGGCCATAGAGCTATAGGGCTATTGAGCTATAGGGTTATGAGGCTGTAGGGCTATAGGGCTATAGGGCTACAGGGCTATAAGGCTATAAGGCTATTAGGGCTATAGGGCTACAAGGCTATAGGGCTATATAGAGCTACCCGGCACCTGGGCACCCAGGCACCTGGGCAAGCAAGCACCCGGGCACACGGGCACCCTGGCACCCGGGCACCCGGGCACCCCCGGGTACCCGAGCACCCGGGCGTGCGGCGAAAATCGGCGGCAAACCGAGCTAACCATATGAATCCGCTAGGACCCCTACAGAGGCAAGCTCTGATTGGGGAACAGTAACAATCAGCAAACAACAAACAACACAAACACACACATCAAAAAACAAACAACCAACAAACAGACAGACAAACAGACCGACAAACAAACACCAACACCAACAACAACAACAACAACATCATCATCATCATCATCATCATCATCAGCATCATCATCAACAACAACAACAACACCAACAACAACAACACCAACAACAACAACAACAGCAGCAGCAGCAGCAGCAGCAACAACAACAACAACAACAACAACACCAACAACAACAACAACAACAACAACAACAACAACAACAACAACAACAACACTAACAACACTAACAACAATAACAGCAACAACAACAACAACAACAACAGCAACAATCCGCACCGCAGAACCTCACTTCAGCCACGCGCCCAGCGACAGTGAATGACCGTTCGGCCCCCCCACTCTGATGAGGAGGGGTGAAGAGACGGAGGAGGAGAATGAGCCGGAGGAGTCCTCCCTGAGACCTGGAGTTGCTATAAAGAACAGAAAAAGAATTCAAAATGTCAAGACCAGCGCCCTAGCCCCTATCTTTCTTCTACGTTTTTCGAGCCTGATCGACATGTGAGGGCTCCGGGGCCCAAGCCAGGCTGAAAACGCCCTGCGCGAAAAAGATGCAGCGCCCGGATCTCAGGCGAGGGGGAGGAGGCCTGGTCCCAAGAGTCCCGGCCCGGAGAGTGAGGGGGGCCAACGTATAGGGAGCCCACAAAGGACGTACGCGCCCAGCTATGTACATGAACACGGCCCCTCGATCCGCGAGACCGGCCGCGTTATACAACATTTGCGCAATGCGTACTCTCGAAACCAGCGTGGATTGATGTACATGTACGTCCTTCTTTCGCTCCTGAACGTAAGGTGGGGGGACCAGCTCAGGGGGGGGGGGGGGAAACATCGACCTGGAATCGGTGATACATCGCCGATAGATCGGCGATAGGCCCCCGATGGCGAGACCGCAAGTTCCTGGGCGGGGTGGGCTATCGAGCCCCTACTCCAGATTTCGTAATAAAGGGAGGGGGGTCTCATTTCGGGGGGGTCTCTTCCAGGCTATCTTGGAGGGCCTGGGGGGGTCTGGGGACGATGTTTTGGAAGGTTCTCCCACGGGGGGGGTCTGAAATGGCTTGTCTTGGAGGGTCCAGACCCCCTCCCTTTTATTACGAAATCTTGAGTATCTAGAGGGACAAAAAACATCCACAAACATCAAATGTTGGAGGGCCGCGCGGATTTTCTTGGACTTGTGCCCTGGCGCGCGGAGCGCGCCAGTGCAAGCGCCGGAGGCGCCGCCAGGCGGTCCCGAGCGCGGATCCGAGAAATCCGCGCGGAGCTCTGGAGGTTGATGGCTAGCCGCTTTGTCTTGATCGACTATCGGCTCTGAATGGGCGAGTGGCGTGGGCCTTGCGGCGTCCTGACTTTGTCCATATGGCGGTCACCAGAAGTCCCGACCCTTTCCCTGGGGCCGAAGTTTCATCTTGAATAATTTTGCTGGCGGTCCCGGAGCCCCGCAAGGGCCCCAAGAGGCCGAAAACGGCGACATGAACCTCCCGTCCTGATTTTTGTCCTCACGCGAGCACGTCTGGCGATGCGTCCCTCCTGGGCCTGCAGCCGGGCCTAGGCCAGAAGAGCATCCTTCAGGAACATGAAACCATCCGGCGGCCAAAACAAACAGAACATCCAAGGGCACACTCCTCAAGATGCACAAGAGCAGCCAACAAACACGAAGAAACCTGGGGCACCCTCCCTGAACCGACCTCGATCTTATACCTCGGTCCGACCGAATGTGGTTTTTGGGGCAAAACTCGGGTCTCCGGCCGCCGTTCGGGACGATGCAGGCAACCCCAGAACGCTCTCAGCGAGGCGCAGCCGCTGGAACGCATCCCGAAGCTGGAAAACCGCCGAGAACCAACGAAAACGTCCGCAAACCTCGAACCTCGAACAAGCACGAAGAACAGTAGGGCACCCCGCCGAAACAGCCTCGAGTTTATACCTCGGTCCGACCGTAGCCCCCCCAAAACGCTGCCCCTGAGAGAGCCCTGGGCCCCGGTTTGGACGCCCGGAATGGGTACGGAAAAGATGTGCACACTGCCCAACAACAAATGTTGCCCCAAACCAACAGCGGCCGCTGTCGGGCAGGCGGCCTTCTGTCTCAAATGCACACCTGCCGCGGCGACACCGACAGCGAGACCTGTTCAGAATGAAAAGGAACCGCTGTTGGACATTGTACCAATTCTGTTCTTTCCGTACCCAGTTCGTTCGTGCAGATCGAGTGTATACCTCGGTCCGACCGTAGCCCCCCCAAAACGTTGCTCCTGCGAAAGACCTGCACCCCGGGGGGGGACCCCGGCGGCGGGCCAACAGCGGCCGCCTGCCACCGGAGGCGCAGCGACTCCTGCGCGCGCAGCAGCTCCAGCGCGGTCTGCTCCTCCTCGGCGGGGCGGAGCCCGCGGGAGCCACGGCCGAGGGCAAGCCGGGCCACGGCGTGTGCGACCACGGACCGCTCGCTACCGTTGTGGATGCCACGACGATGGGCACCCCAACAGTCCTATCATCGAATTGAAAATGTGTTTAAAATGTAGGAAAATGTCCTGGATATGCTTAAAATGTCGGAGAATGTGCTTAAAATGTCTAAAGCATGCTTAACACATGTTTTAGACATCTGGAAAGTACTTGGCAACATGCTTCCTCTCCCTTGATCGTCCTCCACAACGCTACAGTCGGCCCTGGGCCAGAAGAGCATCCTTCGGGAACATGAGGCCCTCCGTCGGCCAAGGCAAACAGAACATCCAAGGGTGCCCTCACCAGGATGCACAAGAACACCCAACAAGCACGAAGAACACTATGGGCACCCTGCCCGGACAGGCCTCGATCTGATACCTCGGTCCGACTGCACCCATTCGGCCATGCGCAGGAGTGACCCCAGGCAAGAGGGACCTTTGGTGCTTCGGGGGGCGCGGGGAATCCAAACCGGGGCGCGCAGAACGCTGTTACCGCATCGCGTTCAGCCATCTGGGGACCCCAGTGTGCTGGCACCAAAGCTCACCCCGGCGAAAGGTCACTCTTTCGTGTAGCCGACCCATCTGCCTCGGGTAGTCTTCGGCGGTTTTCGGCGGTCTTCTGGCGGTCTTTGGCGGTGTCCTGCGGTTTTCGACGGTTTCAGCGATCTTCGGCGGTTTCCGCGGTCTTCGGCGGTTTTCCGCGGTCTTCGGTGGTCTTCGGCGGATGCTTGTGTTCAACTAGGGGTCCGTCATAAAACACCTGAGCCAGACTACTGATAGGTCGGGCAGGTCCTCCTACAGGCGGGTTTCGGAGGAAAAATAAAACATATACAACAAATATCAAAACAAACATCAAAAATCATGAAAAGAAACGTCCCATGACTATCTTTTACTATGAACGCTCCTCCTGTAGGAGGGCATGCCCGATGTCGCACTGAGGTTTTCGGCATGCGGGGGCCCTCGCTGGTCCCCGGGGGCCATCAAAACGCAGGCCAGGAGGAAAAGCCGGCCCCAGGGAATGGGTCCAAGCCTCTGGAAGTCCACGCCCTGGAAAAAGTCACGGGCGTCGGGGTTCTGGGGAGCTGGACATGCGACGTCCATATTTCTGAACTGCGCGGTCCCCAAAGTCTCGATCCTTCCCCAAGGGCAACTTTTTCACACTGAAGCCTTGTTTGATGGTCCCGGGGCCCGGTGAGGGCCCCGAGGGGCCGAAAACCACGAAAAAACGACCGTTCTGATTTCCCTCACGATGAGAGCATGCCTGGGGGAACTCTGGGGACGCACTGAGACCAGAGGCAGGATCCACGCAGTGGTCTCGTCGGGACCGATCCCTCCAGTAACTGGAGTTAGCGAGGTAACCTCGGAACACCAGGCGGGGCTTGGCGAAAGCGAAGATCTCTCAGCTCGCCCAGGCTCCCAGTCCCAATCGGCTCTGGGCGGACGCGAGGCTATTTCGGATCGCCCAAGAGCCCACGCGACAAGAATTGCAGAGCAGATCAGCGCCACCACACAGAGCCTTGAGAGCAAGCTGGAGAGAGGAGGACGGAGCCTGAACCCAGCCAAGACCAACCACCTGGAGGCTCTCCGAGGACCAGGGCGAGGTGGGACCACAAGGCAGCTGCAGAGAGAGAGAGAGAGAGGAAGACCAAGGGCACGCCGATGAGGGAGATGAGAGTATTGGGGCCATACCTACCAGGAGATCAAGGATATGCAGGATATATACGGAGGAGGTGCGAGGCCATGCAGCTGGCTTACAGACAGTGTGGGTGCTTCTGGTCATCAGGTACTACAGACAAAATAAAGAAGGATATGTTTCATGCGTTCGTTTCGGGAGCAGGCCTAAGCGGTTTGACGGCACTTGTGCTGGAAGAGCGTCACTTGAGGGCACTCGGCAGTACGATGGCAGTGCTTTTGAGAAGGATGGCAGGAGGCAGGATGAGCTGGGTAGAAGCGGATGGTACGACCAGGTGATGCGCCAACAAGGAGGTTTTCAGAAGATGGAGGATACCACGATGCTCGACACCACTGAGGATACGCAGGCTACGGTGATACAGACAGTTGGCGAAATATCCAGAGAATGTTGGCAGCGTGTTGGCGGCCGTTTTTGGCGCGTCGAAGCTGGACAACCTACGCCAGATTAGGATGTTGGAAAATGGATGGACATGCGAAGCATCTACACCTTGGGCCAAGCAGGTGGTCAGGGACTTCCAGGCGCTGGCCGAGGTCAGCGAGGACGCATGGAGCTGGTGCCCGAAGAGGCAGCCAGACATCTCAATGTTCAAGAGAGGCACGAGGGATCGGGAAGCTCGGGCGGGGGCGGACCCCAGTATCTTACGCCACGCTGGAGAGGCATGGGACACAGCGTTACATGAGATTACGGCGGGAAGAGAGGTGGCGGATCGGTTTTGGCGTGACTGGGAAACTGGAACAGAGGGACAAGTGCGCGGAGCACAACTTACTACGGCGGCGGCGCCGGCAGGGCACAGGAGAGTGGCGCACAAAGGTCTTCCTCTGATCCCCAGCCTGGCGATCGCGAGCCAATGTCCTTGGTGCACGAGCTCTGTCGCGTCACAAAAAGACGGAACATGTAATGAGAGCAACGGAGGGTCACGGGATATGTTGCAAAAACAGAAGTTGCTGGAATCACCCCGCCCGTGAGCCCGCTTCCCTCGTCTGCATCCCCTGTGGCTTTCAGGCTCAACCCTTGGAAGGTGTTCAGATGCACGCGCGCTGCCGCCATCCTGGGCCGCACTGCGTGAAAGATGGCGATGGCACCGCGGAGATTACCACGGCCCAAACGAGGAGCAAACGCGGAGATGGAAGGAGAGCCGAAGCACCACAAGGGCTGCAAGGGAAAAGGACGGACCAGTGGCACGCAGAAGGGACCAGCGCCAAGGCAGCGGGCAGCCCGCCAGCGGCCACGACCACGGCGACGGGAGGGGGCGGCAAAGGCGGAGGGGGAGGGCGCAGACGCCCCCCCCCCCCCGCCAGCCATGCGCAGCGAACGACTACGAGGAGTTCGACCTAAGAAAGTGCATCAACGGGCCCCAACGGCTGGCCCTCCGCCGGGCAGCAGAGATCCGAGATATGAGCCACATGACCTCGGACTTCTTCCTCGTGCCAGTCAGCCATGGGGCGCTTCGAAGGTCGACGGCAGCGGGGCAGAACTACGGGAACCGGGTCAGGGGGAAGGGCGAAGGGCGCGAGATGGGACCACCAGGCATCCACCCGGGGGCGGCGCTCATGGAAGGCATCCAGGAGCTGGTGTCGGAGTGGCAGAAAGGAGACCAAACGGCAGTACCAGCATCAATAGATCGAACAATGGACACCCTGGGCGACTTCCTGAAGCTGATGGAGGACAACAGGGAACACAGCCTGGCCATGATCTCAGAGACGATCAAGGTGTGCAAGGTCAGCGAGAGCTACAAGGCGAGCAACAAGAACAGTGCCCCGAACGAGGACGAGCAGGACTTTTGGGAGGAGGGCTCAGGCAATATCCAGATCGGCATCAACGAGCCCCCCAACCTGAGAGCGGTGCTCCCGAAGGACATGAAAGAAGGCACCATGGCGGAGCTGTACCAGTTCGCGGGCCACAACCTCGGGAAGGCCGATGGGGATGCTGGTCGTCTGCGTGGTTGGCAAGGGACCCCCGTCGGCGGCACCGAGGTCGGAGCTGGAGAGGATGGCGGGGCGGGAACTTCAGCGCCGGCGCCGCTGAGGACGGATGGGTGGTGGTGGCATCAGCGAGGTTTTCTCTGAGTGCTACACAGGAGGAGGAGGAGGACGAGGAGGAGGAGGAGGAGGAGGAGGAGGAGGGAGGAGGAGGACGGAGGAGGAGGAGGAGAAGGGCAATCGCATTAGCGAGGTGTTCTCGGAATGCAAGGACCCCGGGGCAGAGTGTCCGGCCCGCGGCTGGCGCGGGCAGGCACCTGCACGGCACCTCCAACGGCGTCGGCATCAAGCGATGAGGCATCGTCCTCCTCCTTCTCCTCCTCCTTCCTCCTCCTCCTCCTCCTCCTCCTCTCCTCCTCCTTCCTCCTCCTCCTCCTCCTCCTCCTCCTCCTCCTCCTCCTCCTCTCCTCCTCCTCCTCCTCCTCCTCCTCCTCCTCCTCCTCCTCCTCCTGCGCGTTAGCACGGCCGCGCAAGTCCCTTTCTCCCCCCCCAGGGCTGTTGGGCATAGTCGGCGTCCCCAACAGCGCACGGACGAAGAGGAAGAGACACCTTTCAGATGATGCAAGAGTAGGAAAATCAATCAGCATGGGCGTTGAGCGCCTCACCGAACTCAAACGGTTTGCCCCAGATCGTGGGATATACGAAATGGCGCTGAAGTTCCCAGCAGAACGGAGAGCAGAGTTGCAGAGAAACGCAATGGGAAAAGGCCTTCCTGGCAACAACCAGCCACCAGCCTCAGTAAACGACGTCATCTGCCATGACGACACGATACGAGTCTTCCTCCTTCTTTCCATTTCAGATACGGAGATATGGAAGCCGGGGTACTTGCGTATATTGTACACCATACGCACAATGTAAAGACGGGTCACGGTCCGTGGGGGGTGGTGGGGGGATCTGAGATCAGCAAACGAAGTACTGCGCGATTAAGAGGGCAGATGGGACGGCGCACATCTCCATCGATCATACTCGGTTACCACAGCTGATCTGGCTCAACGTTGGCCTAGGTGAGCGTGTCGCGCACCAGCGGCGGGGCTTCTCGGAGTGCGTAACACAGGGTGGCAACCCATGTCCTTCACAGGCAGCAGCCAGCTATGGCCCTGCGGGCGTTGCAACAAGGAGCTTCAGTACTACAAGATAATCGAAAGCCACAGGGAGCACACGATAAATGAACCAGGTGATACAAAAAAACAAAGATGCAAAGACAGCAAATGGAAGAGAGTGCGAAGAATGGAGACTGTGAGCTGGAGCTGAGGATGCGACTGTGAGCTGGACCTGAGGCTATTGTGACTGGAGGGAATGGCGACTGCAGGCAGCGAATGGCGACTGTGAGCTGGAGCTGAGGCTGGAGTAGTGGGAAGAATGGAGCGATGAGCAAAAGACGCTGCATGGAGGAGAAAAGTACATTTCGATAGAGCAGGTCTGCCGAGAACATAAGAAGAAAGCAAACTGAGCCGCGTGGGCAGCCCAGGCCCTTGGACATATCAAAGCAGCACAAGCACTCCTGACAGAAGGAGAAGGCCCAAAGAAAAAGTCTCGCACAGCTAAAAACAGGATGGCCATAAAAGGTCGGAGGAGATGGCAAAGGCGCTGCTGGAGGGCATCAAAATGAATGGAGGCATATTCGAAGCCTTTAGAAAAAACAGGAGAAAGCATGACAGAGGCTCTACGCTGCGCAGAAGAATGGAACATCCTGCTCAACAAATACATGGCCATGGACATGAATGACGATGATGCGCTGAAGACGGCAGTACAAGAGTTGGAGAAAAAAGAGAAAGAGCTGCACGAGATGGGCGACTACAAGACGGCGGAGAACATGGGAGAAAAGCGGTCGGCGTACTTCAAAGCGCTGGACTTCGTGGACAAGTGGAGCGACAACATGAAGCTGTTCAACGTATGCAGGAGGGACACGGGATGGGACGAAAAGACGGGAGGAGCCTGTTCGTGCGGGCTTGCCTTCCCAAACAAGCTGTGGTGGAGAGGCCCCAGCCCCAATTGGAGAGGGGACAAGTGGCAGTTCTTGTGCAAGGCGGATTGGCTACAGCTCGTCAAAGCGCAGGAGACGCCACCCAGAAGATGTGCTGATGAAAGAGTGGGTGGACAAGATGGAGGATACGTTCGGCGACGACTGCGAGAAGTGACCAAAGATCGGGTGGGCCATCGATGGTGGTGGGGCTCAGAGTGGGAAACAAATGGGAAGCGGGCATTGCAGAAAGGCTGCCGCAGCAGCTAGACGACGCCATCAAGGAGTGCCACTACCAGTTCTTCGATGCCGCCCAGAAGATGAGCCCAGAGGAGCTATTCGAGCTGATCCCCATGTCCTTCCCGATGACGCACAAGGTCAAATATTGCGACCTCATCGCAAGGTACGCTGTGGACGGACGCATGGGAAAGAGCAGGGAGGAAGGTCGTTACTGTACAGAGCTGGACGGTGCTCCTCGATGGTCGCCGCCGAAGAAAATTGCACACGTCCGAGCGATGCCGAGGCAGTGATCGCGCCTGCCCCCCCCTCGGCTACACGCAAGGGTGGCCCTGGGCAAGAGGGGTGTTCGGCGCTCGGCTTCCAAGGAGGCGCAAGGGGTCAAAACCGAGCGCGCCAGTCACTGCTACCGCATCTCGATCAGCGGTCCCAATCACTCGCTGGGCCCCGGGACCGTCAAAAAACGAGTCGGGATGAAAAACCAGCCCCGGGGAAAGGGTCTGGACTTCCGGGGACGCCGTCCTGGCGAAACTCAGGACGTCGCATGTCTGGGGTGAGACTGCACCCCAAGGTCACTCTGGCAAAAAACGTCACTCTGACGTGTAGTCGGCCCCCCCGAGGGGCCTCCAGGCCTATAGTGAGCGGCTCTCCCCAAACATGCGACGTCTTGGTTATGTCAATACGCGGTCCCCGGAAATCCCGACCCTTTTGCCCGGGACCGGCTTTTCATCCTGAGTCGTTTTGTTGACGGTCCTGGGGCCTGGCGAGGGCCCCCAGAGGCCGGAAATGGCCAAAAACCTCCCGTCGCGACGCGGTCATGGCTGGGTCTAGAGGCCGCGGGGGCCTCCCTGGACCGGCCAGCATCGAATCGCGACATCGGCTCGGATCGGAACGAGCGTTGCAACTGAGACCCTGAGATCCGACGTAGCGAAAAAAAAGCATCGCAAACAAGCAGGCCCAAAGCCCTAGACCCTATCTTTCTGCGTCATGTTTCGAGCCGGATCGATCCGTGAGGGTCCTGGGACCCGAAAAAAGACGAAGAAACGCCTGGCTCGAAAAAAATTAAACGCCAGCTGGGAGGGCTGGGGCAGACAGAGGAAGACGAGGAGGACGACGAGGCGCTCCCCAGAGCGGCGCGGCTGGGAGGAGGAGGAGGAGGAGGCGGAGGAGGAGGAGAGAAGGAGGAGGAGGAAGAGGAGGAGGAGGAGGAGGAGGAGGAGGAGGAGGAGGACCTCCTCATCATCCCCCGTCCTACCTATGGTAGTGGTGGTGGAAAATTTGCCCATCAGAGTCGCCAGGATCTCAGGGAGCGTCGCAGCCTGGCGGCGTGCAGCTCTCGTCCGAGGCGAGGCGGGGGGGGAGCGGAAGGCGGGCGCGTCCTTGCGGGTTCTCGCCTGGGAAGCGTGCAGCTGCCTCTCGAGGAGCCGCTTCTCGTCCTCGGCGCGTCTAAGAGGAGGCCAGGGCGAGGACAGCATCGGGCGACGATGAATCCCTCCTCCTCCATCTCCACAATCACACAAGATGAATACTACTCTCCTCTCTCCCCTGATGACGTCCGGGAAATATTCGGCCCCCCTCCGCGTAATGGTTTTGTTACACAGGATTCCCGGGAAACGGGTTTTCGCTTGGGTTCTTGTTTTCAAAATGCTGCTCTCGCTGAAGCGCTGGCCCCATTTTCGGGCTACCGCTCGTTCCGAATCGTGCTCCCGCTGCAGCGGTGGCGTCATTTCCGCCCTTCCGCTCGTTCCGAATCGTGCTCCCGCTGCAACGCTGGCGTCGTTATTTCCAGCGCCATGCCACAGTACGGTTTTCGGTTCTTCCATATACGCCCCAAAATCTAGAAAATGGCCCTTCGAACAAAAGCATCAGAAGTAATTCCACATTCGGTGTCGATTCGTTGATTTCTTGGGTCGCGGAAGCCCCTCCCCTCTTTGGGGCGTCGCCACGCCATGGTATGTCATGCTACGTATTGATCTTCAACACCATGCTATGCCAGGTCATGTTACGCCATGCTACGACATCCGACTGTGCGAATAGAGAGGAGATCTACGCCATGGTGAGGGATGAGAGGGAGGGGTAGGACGTCACATATGATGCGAGCGCACCTAGCTTGTCCTCCTCTCCCTCCTCCTCCTCCTCCTCCTCCTCCTCCTTCTCCTCCTCCTCCTCCTCCCTCCTCCTCCGCCTCCTCCTCCTCCGCCTCCTCCTCCTCCTCCTCCTCCTCCTCCTCCTCCCCCGCCTCCTGGGCCCGTCTTAAGACGAAGCCAGGAGCGAGGACGGCATCGGGCAAGTAAAAATCGAGGATCTCTGAGATCCCGCGGCTCCGGAGGATGTCTCGGGCGCCCATCGCTCAAACGTCCATGCCTGGTACGTTTGTTCGGCTTCGAGCGCTTATTGTTTCATTCCCCGCTGCGTGAGCGCGTTAGTCCCTCTCCTTCCTCCCGCGGCCGCTCCTCTTTCCCCTCCTCTTCCTCGTGCAGCCGGGCAGTTCGCACTGCCGTCACCTGGCCTGCTGAGAGCGCGTGCGGACGGCCTCTGCCGCGCTGCGGCTGAAAAACCGCTCATTCATGGAAGATGACGAAGATGGGGAACCGAACTCTATATACCGACGCATTTTGCTGGCCACGCACTGAAATTCGCATAGGAAAACAGATCCTGGTGTACACGGGACCCTGGTGTATATATTTTCCGTTGTTTTCCCAGGGAACGGATCAAAAATTATACACCACACCTCCCCGGCGTCGTCCCCGACCCTCAAAGAGTCCTGGGAATGAAAACAGCCCGCCACTGGTAGTGTATGTGTTCCGGTTTCCGAGAAGATGGCCAAAGATTGAGACGAGGCCGGGCCGACGCCCAGTTCGGACGAAGATAAATCGAAGATCTCCGAGACCAGGCGGCTCTGGAAGATGTCTCGGGCGCCGCGGCCTGCTCAGAGCGTTCCGGAGACGACCTGAGAGCGTTCCGGCACGCTCTGGAACGGATCGATCCTCGTCCCAGCCCCGCCCGAGCGTCGGCGCCTGCATTCTGCTGCCCCTGGCCTGTCCTCCGGCGCCCTACCATGGAGGCTGTAGGCTCGAGCAAATTTCCTCGCGCGGCATTTCCACCCGCCCCCTATCCTCCGATGCTGCTGCTGCCTTGTCTTCCAGCGCCCTCTCTTGGAGGCTGTTTTTTACCCACATCCTGAGTGGGGTTCTTGTTTTCCCAGAACATCCTCTCCTCCTCCTCCTCCTCCTCCTCCTCCTCCTCCTCCCGCTTCCTCCACCATCCCATACTGTATCATACCATACCAATACCATGCCACTCCATACCATACCTTACCATACCATACCATGCATCCACCATCCCATACCATACCATGCCTTTCCTCACACCATGTTATTTATCAGGTTTCGTGCCCCTCCCACCCCTCCAGGGAGGCCCCGCCTGAGCGAGCAGGGTATTCGCACACCATGTTATGTATCAGGTTTCGTGCCCCTCCCACCCCTCCAGGGAGGCCCCACCAGAGCGAGCAGGGTATTCGCACACCATGTTTTCATCAGGTTTTCACAGTGCCCCTCCCAAGTCTCTCCAGGGAGGCCCCGCCTGAGCGAGCAGGGTATTCGCCACCATGTTATATTTATTTTATCAGGTTTCGTGCCCCTCCCACCCCTCCAGGGAGGCCCTCGCCGAGCGAGCATGGTACATTCGCACGACAATGTTAGGTAACTCAGGTTTCGTGCCCCTCCCACCCTCCAGGACGCCCCGCCGAGCGAGCGGGTATTCGCACACAATGTTATGTATCAGGTTTCGTGCCCCTCCCACCCCTCCAGGGAGGTCCCGCCTGAGCGGGCAGGGTATTCGCACACCATGTTATTTATCAGGTTTCGTGCCCCTCCCACCCCTCCAGAGGGGCCCCGCTTGAGCGAGCAGGGTATTCGCACACCATGTTATTTATCAGGTTTCGTGCACCTCCCACCCCTCCAGGGGGGCCCCGCCTGAGCGAGCAGGGCATTCGCACACCATATTATTTATCAGGTTTCGAGCCCCTCCCACCTCTCCAGGGACGCCCCGCCTGAGCGAGCACGGTATTTGCACACCATGTTATTTATCAGGTTTCGTGCCCCTCCCACCCCTCCAGGGAGGCCCCGCCTGAGCGAGCAGGGTATTCGCACACCATGATATTTATCAAGTTTCCTGCCCCACCCATCCTTCCAGGGATGCCCCGCCTGAGCGAGCAGGGCATTCGCACACCATGCTATTTATGAGGTTTCGTGCCCCTCCCACCCCTCCAGGGAGGCCCCACCAGAGCGGGAAGGGTATTCGCACACCATGTTATTTATCAGGTTTCGTGCCCCTCCCGCCACTCCAGGGAGGCCCCGCCTGAGCGGGCAGGGTATTCGCACACCCACCCCTCCAGGGAGGCCCCGCCTGAGCGAGCAGGGTATTCGCACACCATGTTATGTATCAGGTTTCGTGCCCCTCCCACCCCTCCAGGGAGGCCCCGCCTGAGCGAGCAGTGTATTCGCACACCATGTTATGTATCAGGTTTCGTGCCCCTCCCACCCCTCCAGGGAGGCCCCACCAGAGCGGGCAGGGTATCCGCACACCATGTTATTTATCTGGTTTCGCCCCCTCTCAACATTCCAGAAGGCACCGCCAGAGCGGGCAGGGTATTCGCACACCATATGAATTATCAGGTTTCATGTCCCTCCCACCCCTCCAGGGAGGCCCCACCAGAGCGGGCAGGGCATTCGCACGCCATATTATTTATCAGGTTTCGTGCCCCTCCCGCCACTCCAGGGAGGCCCCGCCAGAACGGGCAGGGTATTCGCACGCCATATTTTATTATTAGGTGTCGTGCCGTTCCCGCCCCTCCAGGGAGGCCCCACCAGAGCGGAAAGGGTATTCGCACACCATGTTATTTATCAGGTGTCGTGCCCCTCCCACCCCTCCAGGGAGGCCCCACCAGAGCGGGCAGGGTATCCGTACACCATATTATGTATCAGGTTTCGTGCCCCTCCCACCCCTCCAGGGAGGCCCCATTAGAGCGAGCAGGGCATTCGCACACCATGCTATTTATCAGGTTTCGTGCCCCTACCACCCCTCCAGGGAGGCCCCACCAGAGCGCAGACAAGAAGCAATGGAACCCCGTAACATCTTTATGTGGGGAACTCCGTTAGCACAATTTTCTTGAGGTTTCGGCAAGCTGGCTCACACGGCGGGGTGGATGAGCGTGGCGAGGCCCGAAAGGAGATCTGCGCTTCACGCAAGCCAGGACTCACTTGCACGCCCTTTCAGCCCAGCGCTGTCGAAGAGGCGGCGAGGGCGGGAGGGTGGGGGGGGGGGGAATGCCGTGCAAGCAAACGTGCTTGAGTCTAAAGTAAAACGACCTCTTGAGGAGGGGGAGAGGGAGGAAGAAGAGGGAGGCCGCGACCCATTAATGAAATCGCACCTCTCGTCGAGGCTTGCGAGGCCCATACCACCGCGTGCGGTGGCGCATGCTCGCTTGCTTGCACAGGTGCTTGCTCGGGTGACAACCCCTGCGCTGTGGCGGGGTGCAGCTCGAGACGCTGGTGGGACGGTGTATGCAGACTGCCCTAAACTTACCACCCTAGCCCTGACACCCTAACCTTAACACCCTAAGCATACCACCATAACCCGAACACCCTCACCCTAATACCCTCACCCAAAGCACGAACCACGAACCAAACGCCCCAGCCCTAATCCGAACACTCTAATCCTACCAACCCTAACTCTAACACCCTTGCCCTAACACCCTGACCCTAAGACCTTAACCTTACCATTGGGTCGAAACTGTCCCCTACAGGGGGATTTTGGGCGAAACAATTTAAGTACCCAAAGAATACTCTAAAAGTGCAACAACAAATAATAAAAAAACTCCCCCAGACTATGTTTGGAATAGTTTGGAATTCCCCTCCTGTCGAGAGACACGCCCGACTTAACCTTACCACCCTAACCCCGGCACCCCTAACGCTAACACACGAACCCGAAGCATGAACCCTGACCCAACCACCCCAATCCTAACCCTGCCATCTTGATGACGACGGCTGGCCGACGACGACGATGACGACGACAACGCCTCGAGGGGGATATGAATTGAGATCGCGCTGACGCGCTGAGGGTACAGAGTAGGGCGATCCTATGGGAAGGGCTTAGGGCCGGGGGGGATCCGCGCAAGCAGGAGAAATGGATCCTAACTAGGGGGAGAACAAACCTACCTCGCTTTTGACCACCCTCGCTTCCAAGAGATACCAAACGATGCCAAATTGCAGCCTGTACTGGTCAGGCCGCTTGACGAGGAGGCGCGTGGTATGGCTTGGTTTTGCCTGGAAGCGAAAGCGGGGTAGGTAATTCACGCTCTGACTACTAACACTAGAACCCTAACCCTACCACCCTAACTCTAACATCCTCACCCTAATCTCCTAACACGACCATGCACTGGAGCGTGAACCCCCCTCCTCCACCACCAAACAAATGAAATAGGTTGAAACCCCCCCCCTTCCAAAGGGAGGGAGCGGAGGGGTCCAACCCCGCCCCTTACCCCGCCCCTTTGCCGGCGCAGAAGAGGAGGAGAAGTGGGAGAAGGGGGGGGATCCAAACCACCCTGGGGAGGAGAGGGGGGGTAAAAACAGAACCCCTGGAAGGGGGGTAGGGTGTGTGGGGGGGGTCGCTCTCACACACACACACACACACCGCTTCTGTTGCTGATTGAAGTGCGGACACTGGTGCTCATTCGAGATGAGATTGCTGCCTTCTTGACGGGGGGGCGCATCCGCGTGGCGCACAATTGTCTGGGTGGTCTCCCAAGATGTGTACGTGATTTCCTCCTCTTGCTCTTCAACATCATGTTTCAATTTCTATGTCAACTACTCATGTTACATGTCCGCCCCCTCTCTTCCTCATCAAACTCCTCCACGCGACTTCTCCTCTGCCTCCTCCCCCTGCAACTCCCGATCGTCCTGAGGTGAAACCTTGCATGGCCCCTGCAATGAAAAGGAGCCAACGTGAAACTGGGGAGACTGGAGGAAGGGTTGATGGGGAGGACTGCAGGGACAGGCAGGCAGGAGGTAAGAGATGAAGGAGGCAGGGGGAAGAGGGAACGGAGGGAGCTAGAGACGGAGGAGGACAGGATATGGAAGAGGGATGGCGGAGGGAAGAGACGGAGGCAAGAGAAAGATGGGGGAGGAGGAGGAGGAGGAGGAGGAGGAGGAGGAGGAGGAGGAGGAGGAGGAGGAGGAGGAGGAGGAGGGGGAGGAGGAGGAGGAGGAGGAGCGGAGGAGGAGGAGGGCAGAGGTAGGAGAGAGAGAGGATGCAAGGCGAAATGGAGGGACAGGCGCCCGTGTAGCTGAACCTGGCCCATATATTGAGCCGACGGTCTGGCTGCTGATGGGGGCTGTTCCAATCACGCCCTCGGGAGAACAGCAGCAGACTGGAGAACGGACTGCCCAGGTTGAGGAACCAACAAAATCGTGCTGGGCCACGCCGGCGTAAGAGCCTGCCAGAGGACTAGGAACTGGCGGACCTGGCGGCAGTAGTAGAGCAGGGCCGAGCGGCAGCGAGGAAAGCAGAAACAGAAGCCACTAGTCGAGATCGCCACTCATGATGACTCCGCTGCTGCAGGTCAGAAGCACGTTGCTGGCTGCTGAGCACGAGGTGGCGGTGGCAGCGGCGTAGTCAGCTCCTCGCAGACCACTGAATCTGCATACAACGAAGCCGCCAAGGCAGAAAGAACAGCTTGCTAACACACCACAGGAAAACACAGCTGCGAGATTGGATTTCGCAGTCGACCTTCGCCAGGCTGACGCGCTGAATTCCGTACGCAGGAGTGCAGTAACGGGTATGACAAGAGGAGCCCCAC